GAGATTTGAACCGCTGAACTGCTGATCTAGCAGTAGCCTGCAGTGTTGCATTTAACCACTGCGCCACCTTGGCTTTTCCTACTTCACTGCTTAGTGAACCATTAACTTCAATGGTCAATAATACTTCTGTTTGATTTGGAGATCTAATCCATGCATGGCCCATTAAATCACTGCATAACTCTAATTTCACCCCATTTTTCTATCCATAATCCAAATTGAGAGGAAAGTACATAGGAAATGGTAAATTTGAAACAGGTGTGTGATCCCAGCACCACTAGCTCATATATAATCAAATTGTTAATGTAGCAATAATGAGTTCCCTTAATTGACAAACACTAAAATAGAGCAGAGAGTATCATTTGTTGAAGGGACAATGTTTTACTTTACTCTCCCCAATTCCTAGAGTCTTAATTCCTAGAGTTTGCTAACTAAAACAGAAATAACTTATTATATCATTACAACTTCTTGAATTACTTTATTAATGGCTACAAGGGTAGAATTAGATAGAAATTTTTTAAAATAATAGGTCTCCTAAGTAACTTAGAAAGTAATACCATGCATTTATATAAGAAAACTATATTCTTTAGGTAGTAAAACCACATGTTCGCGTGAAAAGGTAGGATAGTGCTTTTTTTTTTTTTTGCTGAAATTGTTAACTTGCTTGAGAAACTCAGAAGGGATTACTAACAAATCATTGTTATGATCTCACAATACAAAATTGACAAAACATCAGCTCTTCCAGATACTGTTTTGAAGATACTCTGAATATGACTGTTAGTTGAATATTTATTAACTGATACCCATCTTTATACAAGCTTATACTAATCACAAAAAAATTCAGATTAAACTTGTCAAGTTTGCAATCTGTTTATTAATGCTTATTCAAATGAAGAATTGCTTTAAAAGTTAATGAAAGAAAAGTTATATTTTATATGAAAATTGAAATGTATTTTATTTCTAGTAAACATAATAAAGAAATACACTAAGACTTTTCCTCTTATTTATGAAAAATGTGAATAAAATATGTACAATTTACAATAAAACAGAAGAAATGTCAGAAAAATGAAACCACATCTTATTAATATAAATATGAAGTAAAATTATTTATATTTACAACTGCATTTCAGAATTCTGGAATGCTGCTAGGTAGCAGAGAAAAAGCTGGAATAAAATTGTGACCCTGATTCTTTTACTAGCAATTTTATTATCATTGTTAGGAGCAGAGTAAGAAGTAAGAATAAGGAATAAATGAAGACTTTTTTTTGCATACTTCTAAGAACTGCTGGACCACCTTATTTATTTCTACCACACCTTTCTCACTATGAACTCTCATTCAAATAGACACAATTTTTAGTATCTGCCATATAGATATTTTGCACTGGCTTAAAAAGAAAACGTTACAAAGGTAAACGGCTTTTAATCAACTGCTTGCCATAGTATCCTGTTTAAATTTCAATTATTCCAGAGCTATCAGAAATATTGGAAACCAGGTAATAAGCAAAAAGGTATTTACTTTTAATAAAGCTTATTTAACTTTCAGATTATATTTCCATCTTTAAGAAAATATGATCAGAACTGAAATCTCAGATCTATTCAACTTTCAAATTGATCAAAAACTCCATAATGTACAGGAAATATCAGTTTCATGTTTATTTATACTAATAACAAAAACTATTAAAAGGTTAAATTTCCTTCAATTATAACATTTAAATATAAAAATATAATAAATATTTCATTTAAGAATCTCTTTCTAGCTACAAAACACTATGAAATATTTATAATTTTAACATAGTTCCATTTTTACACCAAAACAAAAAGAAAATAAAGTAATATAACCACCCAGTTAGCTTTCATAAGCCTTGATCATAAACTTGGAAACTTTATGTTCTAGTAGTTTACATTCAGAATTATTCTTTATTTTTTTATGTTTGTTAACAAATCAAATTATTTTGGGGAGAAATATGCAGTTCCATTACCTTAAAATAAACATAAATATTAATTTTCAAATCACACACATTATATGTGTGTGTGTGTGTGTATGTATGTATGTATGTATGTGTGTATGTATGTATGTATGTATGTATGTGTGTGTGTGTGTATGTATGTATGTATGTATGTGTGTATGTATGTATGTATGTATGTATGTATGTGTATATATATATATACATATATATATATATTAAGATGCTGTTATGATGTAATGAATAGATACATAATTCAGATTCAGTTGTAAAGTCTGTGAGTGCAAAGTAATCTAAACTGATCTAATCTGAAATGGTATATGTTCTCCTGCTTGAGTATGGGGCTGGATTAGAAGACCTCCAAGGTCTCTTTCAGCTCCTATCCTATCCTTCTGGATTGATTTTATATTATGGACCTTATTATTATTATTTTTAAATTTTTTTTATTTTCATTACATAGACCTTATTATTGAATGAATGGATGCATTTATACCCAAAAGAAAGATGCTTGCTAAGTGTTTTGGATTTTTCTGAAGAAAACTCTCACATTTAAAATAATTTTTAGCATATTAATTAATGTAACTAAATTCTCTAGATTTGGAACTGTGTATCTGCCATGTACATAAGAATATGCTGAAATCTAGTAATTTTAGCATAAGAGGCTTGCCCTAATTTTTCTTCATTGTTTTAAAAAGAAGGTACCTGTGCGCTGATCTTAAGGCACCCTTGCTTCTTCAGTACTTGATCTTTTCCTACTGCAACTGCACAGGTGACAAGCAGACTCCAGAAATGCAGGGCTTGCATACAGGCTGCCAACAAAAATCAAGTGAATTGCTTAGGAAATTGTCTGCTATATTATCCAATCTTCAGAATTAGTTTGCATAAACATGGTAAACATATGTTTATCTGAATAGCTCCAATTATATGAGTTTTATATATATTTCAATAGTCTATGCTTTTTAAAACACTACCAGAACAGACTTAGGTATGTTTACTCAGAAACAAATATATACTTAACTTAAGAGAGTTTATTTCCACGAAATTTATATTGGAGCACAAACTTAGCTTACAATCCTACAGTACTTATTTTTTCTGGGATATAAACCCTACTTAGCACAATATAAATTGTTTTTCTCTAAGGAGAACAGAACTCTTCTATATAGCATTTAGAATTTAAGACAAGCTATCAGATATACAGTATTAACTTGAAAAAAAACCCTCTGTTTATAATTCACCAAGAGAGGCTTGTGAAAAGCACAGCTGCAGCAGTGAAAAGAATTTTTCAGTTCAGTAACTACAAATATAGCAGCACAAGGTGCAGTTGAGGGCGTTTTCAAAAGTAGCTTGATTAATCCCTAGGCAACACCCTTGTGAAGTATATCAGGAAGGCATGCTCAAGAATCTAGCTTGTTAGATTGATAGATGATCTACTGGGATACTGACAACAGAAGCTCAAACAAGACAGTCTCATAGACAGAGCAGGAAAGTGTATGTGGGGAGGAGATTGTTGTAACACAAGTGATCTGAAATATTAAAGGCAAAAATCTGAATGGTAATTACAAAACAAACAAAAAAGTTAATTTTTGAAGAAAAACAACAGGCAATAGATGGGAAGATTTTGGATTGTACCCTTTTTATTATATTCTACAGATCACAAGTCTATAAAAGTGAACCAGATGGGGAGCCAAGATGGTGAACAGGCAGCAACAGTTTTAAAGAATTCTTCCAAAATTAAAAAGGTTTTTTGTGACCTTATATTTTTAATCCATATCTGACTTTTTATAAAAGCACATATATTGGAGAGGTTACTAATTTGTTTTAGCTACATTTTAACAATATTACCAGCCAGGATTTTTAAGAATGGGGAAGAGATAATCTAGCAAAAATATTAGGGCTATATTTTCTATTGGGCTGCGCATTAGCACACTGGGACATATTAAAATCAGTATCTATGAAATACTTAAAGGTTAGGAAGCCCCTCCTTACCCTAAAATGATTCAGAAGTTGGGGATGACTAAAGAAGATATGGTTAATTTGTGCTATGTGTGGTAGGAAGATCCAGGAGAAGAAAAGAAATACTGCAGTGTTAGAAAGATCTCTAGAATTTGGACTTCCTGCCAGTGGCGTCATAGCGGAGTGAGGGAAGGAATGGCAGCTCCCAATGGCAGAGTGGAGGGAGGCAAACTCCCAATTGGATGAGATAAACCCCTTGAAACCAATGGAGAAGAAATCGGCGTCCATGGCCGATTCAGAGCTGTGAACCATAATGAGGCAAAGAATATAGCAGCACGATAGCATCGGTGCCAGATAACATCTAAAAACAACTTAAAAACAGTAAAATTTTTGCTTATATTTGACTGAGCTAGAAATTTGAGACTCTAAGTGAGGCTGGGAAGCAGCTAAAGATCAACGATAAGGAGTAAAAGAGCATGCGATTTCCTTTGGCAATGGAGTGGCTTGGAAGCAGGAGAAAAGAGAGGAGGAGGGATCATTAGAGAAATTTGAATCATAAAGAGGAATTGGAGCCAGGTAAACAGTGACTGAAGAAAGCGAGATAAAGACTTAGGGAAGAAATTTGGTGTAAGATAGAGCAGAGATTTTGACTTTTGTTGGAGAAAAAATTTGACGTTTGTTGGAGAAAAAAAAGACAGATGAAAAGAAGAAAGAAACAAAAGCGCCATCTAGCGAAGAGAGAAAATAAGAACTTATTAAAAAGAGATGGGATAAATAACTGATGCAAATTGCTGAAAAATTACAAGAGTAAAAAAGGAACTTGTGGAAAGTGTGGAACTTTGAATTTTGAGATCTCTGAAACCTGACTGTGGAAGTAAAGTGGGGGGAAAGGTTAAAAGAGAATACAGAAGGAAGGAAGAAGAATAGAGAAAATTGAATTATGGTTTATATATATATATATATATATATATATATATA